TGCTCTATAGCAATCAAATGTTTGCCTAAGTGGGAGAATGTTTGAATATTTCTATTATGTGAGCTTCCATTTGATTGCGAATTTTACGGGTTAGATGTATGGTTTGCAACGATATTATGATTAAGCTCAATATATTAGTGATCACTTGAACTGTTGTACACCTTACAAACTTTATTTTTATAATGTGGTAATTTTAATTATGTGGACAGGAATTATGTAAACACTAATTAGGGTTAGAATCGGTAATAGGTCGACTTTATATTTTTCCTACATAATGGCTAAGTTCTCTCCCCTCTCCATATCGTTTATTGACTTGCCCCATTGACGGTTCATTATTTTGAGAAGTAAGGAGAGGAAGATCTAGCTGGTAATATTCATACATAACAATGTATTCGACATATATGAATTTCAAACTAGTAATTTAGAATTTGTGACTCTCGTTCTTAGCATGATAATTAAATAATTACAACACGCTAAACATTGCATTACGACCCTTACGAAGAGGAACAAAAAGAAAGCAGATGTCATGTGGAGGCAAAGTTATGGTGCGCTCCGTCGTCCATTCGGGGGTCGTATCCACAAGTCGTAAATGGAGGCCCACAGAGAGGAGAACCGCTTCCTGAATGTCCGATCCAAGTGTGTATAAGCTGTGACCGCATCCGAATTTACCTGAGTGACGAACTAGGGGGAAGACTACCACTTATCAGGAATACTAGTCAGACGAAGTTCGGACACTTAAGTCATAAAAAACAGAGCAAATATCTACAAAAATAAATTCTCGAGTTAATTTATTGCGTAATAATCTATAGGCTAGAGGTGGTTGAAAATCAGAATCATTGAGGTAGAACATTACAAAATAGGTATCTCAGTTGCTTTATTATCAAACCATGAATCTCAGTATTTATGATCTGATTGAACCGAATCTTAAATAACAAATTTACAACATATTATTAATCAAATTCGTGAAGCTCAATAGATCAATAATAGATCCTTCTGTTTTTTAAGTTTTGCTGAACTTAATGACGTTTGTTAAGAAATTCGTTTTTAAGGCAGGCGATTGCAGTTGTAAACATATAGTATTATTGACTGTCAACTGAAGATAAGTCCAATACTTTATTGTTGGTTAATAGTAAAGATCAATAGACAAGATAAAATCTCATAATTTTGAGTAGTGCTATGGGTACATAGAGAAAGGGCCGAGGAGCCCCTCCAATGGAGAGGAGCCATGTGCCTCTTATGTGAAGGATTATGTGTAGTGTTATATACCAATACTCCAATAGCATTTCCCCATAATTTTTACTTGTTTGTATATTTGTTTCTTGGTTTGATCAAATAGTCACAATTTGAATCAAACGCCTCCATTGTATCCTGAGAGAGATTTTCTATCATACCCCGGTCGTGACTTTTTTGGAAAGGGGAGAAACATCTCTTAAAAGATAACGATTTTCGTGCCTTGGAGTTATTTATTGTTCCAGATTTCCTACTTATTTCCCAACATTAAATAACAAATTTACAACATATTATTAATCAAATTCGTGAAGCTCAATAGATCAATAATAAATCCTTCTGTTTTTTAAGTTTTGCTGAACTTAATGACGTTTCTTAAGAAATTCATTTTTAAGGCAGGCGATTGCAGTTGTAAACATATAGTATTATTGACTATCAACTGAAGATAAGTCCAATACTTTATTGTTGGTTAATAGTAAAGATCAATAGATGAGATAAAATCTCATAATTTTGAGTATCGCTATGGGTACATAGAGAAAGGGCCGAGGAACCCCTCCAATGGAGAGGAGCCATGTGCCTCCTATGTGAAGGATTATGTGTAGTGCTATGTACCAATAGCATTTCTCCATAATTTTTACTTGTTTGTATATTAGAAATTTTTCTGTTTCAAGTACCTATAAAAGATGAGAATTAGAAGGCCACAATTATTTATTTTCCTTTTCGGTTCGATTGTGAGAAAGACGTTACTTCATTTAAACGGAGGAGTTTTGTTGAGGGAAAAATGACACGCACCCCCCACCAACTCTTGCGAATAAAGAAAGACACACTGCTCTCCACCAGTTCTTTGTTCTCACACGCACACTTTGCGACAAAATTATACCCAACCCAGCGAAAAGCACTTACTTTCACTTCGTTTCCTTCAAAACTTGGGTTTTCTTTAATACTCTTTAATGTCTTTCCTCTCTATTTGTTTGTTTATTGGTTCTTGATTTAAGTTACAATAAGCACTTGTGTAATCTTGATATAATTAACTTCCATGAGGACTTGAAATTTCAGTTTGGTTGACAGTCCTTTTCAAAAGAGCGATAACGTGATATTGGCGTTTTGTTAATTTTTTGCGTTTTTCTTGATTTAGAGCTTGATATTGAGGGTATTTGAAGATTTTGGTTGGTGGGTTGGTGTGAGGTTTTATTTTTTATCTGGCAAGATTCAATCTTGATGTGATATTCTTTGAGGGTTTATTTTTCTTTACTTAATAATTAGCTTCAAGATTTTTGAAAGGTATGGTGTGAAGGGTTCTTGCTGATTTTAGTCACAGGCTGCAAGTTTTTAACCTGTTTGGTGTATTTTTATTTTTGCTGCAACAGTATTGGGGGTGGGTTGTAAATTTGTTGGAAAAATGTATATTGAGGAACTGAAGGAAGGGGATTCGGAGAATGAAGGGGGGCAGCAATTGTGTGGTAAGGAAGATGATTCAGAGAATGGAGAGGGGCAAGGTGCTTTCCTTATATGGGATGCAAAAAGGGTTTTGGTCGGAGCAGGGGCTCGGGCTCTTTTCTATCCTACATTGTTATATAATGTTGTTAGAAACAAGATTCAATCCGAGTTTCGTTGGTGGGATAGGGTTGATGAGGTATGCATAATCATTGACAAGTTCTTTACTTTTCCTCTCGTTTGCAATTCTTGTTTATTTGGTTTTAATATACTTCTTGAGTTATATGACTATGTTGATAATATGTGGAGTTCCATCCAATGATGCTGGTAGCAGTTAGATTTAAAATTGAAAGAGTAAATCTTTGTTTATATGCATATTTCTGGGATTATAATATTGTTGATCTTATAATAGAATTCGATGTGGACTTGACTGTATCAAAATCATTCTTGTTGACGTCAGTGCATTATTGAATTGAAACACAATGTAGTTATGGTCTTTCCTTAGGTTATATAGAAATTTTGGGTAAATTTTTTTGCATATAGTTTGATACATGATGGCAGACTTGTGGAAAGAGGGTCAAAAAGAGTAATATATAACTTTTGGGATCTAATTTTCATCAAATTTGGGTAAACTTTTTATTTTTTAATTTTTTTATTATTATTATTATTTATTTATTTTTAAATGAAAGAATGCTAACTCCATGAGTAGGATTAATTGGTGGTGGGCACAGAGACATAAATTAGTGCAATAATGCTACATTTAAATGGTGGACTAAAAGGAATCTATCTTTTTGTTGGAATAATCCCTTAGAGGTGTTGTCATTTCTAAGTTGTATAGATATGAGTGGGGACAATTTAGTGTGACATCTTGTATTCTTGTTGTTGTTGTCTTTCAGTACCCGTTTAATAGCAATTGATGTACATGTCTACTGCTACTTTTATGGATGTGGATCTCTAATGTTCTTTGTATAGCATGTCCACCACGCTGCATCTGCTCTAGTGTGAGCAGAAATACACACACAACATACAATTTCGAAAGAAATAAATTTCTATTGTGAAATTGTATTTCCACCGAAGAAGTCTTGTTAAATTCGCATGTGTTTTTTTTTTTTTTGTATATCATTGTTTAGTACACATATATAGCCTTTTTGGGAAAAAACACTTTGCTTGGCTTGTGGTAATGATCACTCTTTAGCTTATATTCAAAATTTGAAGATATAACCTCAACAAGGCACTAGTTTCTCATGAGCCCTCAGTGAACAGACTTGCAGTTGAAGCCCAGTTTTTGGAGTTCCCAAGTTCTACTATCACCATAGTTATATTGTGCACAATTATTCCTCTCTATATGAGTGGTATGTTAGTATCCTCCCTGACCCTACCAAAAAAAATAAAAATAAAAAAGGAAACAACAATGAAGAATAACCTTATATTTAGTCTTCATAATATTTGTTTAGGTTCCTTGACTTTTAACTATACAAGGGAACTGACTAAAATACTTGATTATTTCTCTGGTATAACTCCTCAATAAATGGAACATGTTATAATAGTTCTTCTATTCACATATGCATATGATATTCACTTTTTTTTTTCCAGTTTGTATTGCTAGGTGCTGTTCCATTTCCCAAAGATGTTCCACAATTGAAGGCTCTCGGCGTAGGTGGAGTGGTTACCTTGAATGAGCCATATGAGACTTTGGTCCCGACGTCATTATATCAGGTATCTTCATTTCTTCATAATTAACAGATCATTTTCCTGTTAAAACTTAAAAGTGTTTTCACAAATGCAATGTCGCTGATGTTCAAGGACTAAAGTATTTTGAGTTGTCAGTAGCCACTAATTTGTGCCAATATTTGCTACTGTGAGCATCTTTTCTGCCACTGAGGAAACGGCCACCTAACTTGATCAGCTCATCCCATTATGTACATATTTTTATATATAATTGATTGTTTTACTTTTTTCTTACTTTTCATTAAAGAAGAGTTACTTATTTTGGAAGTTACTACCTTATGTACTCATTTCAAACTTTAACTAATAAAATAAGTTATTTATTTTAAAACTTAAGTAAACCTACTTATAAGTGAATTTTTTGAGCTTAGCCAAACATTGTATAAAGCATATAAAATATGCATGCCTTTGTTTTCTGTTTATTCCTAACAAAAATGACGTAATGTTTTGATGGTGGTCAATGAAGCGAGTCATCTGAAGTTTGATTCACATGCACCATTAAGCCAATTGTGTCATTGACCCTAGCCTCTTAAACATAGTGAGTATTCCTATGTGCTTATTCATTTTTACCGTGCTTGCTGTTTGTAGGATCATAACATCAAGCACCTGGTAATTCCTACGAGAGATTATCTGTTTGCTCCATCATATGGGGTCATTTGCCAAGCTGTCGAATTCATCCGCGGTAAATTTCATTTCATGTATTACTTATATAAATTGGTTTTCATTATTACTGGTTAGAAAAATGCTTCAGATAATTTAATGTTTGGCCAATGGCCACTATCTTGTGCATGACTGTTAAGTGCTACTTAGCATTCTTCTATCTTCTTAATTCAATTGTAATCTCCATTTTCTTAAAATTTTCTTGTTTTGATTTTTAAAGGTAATACATTTAGCTGCAAAACTACATATGTTCACTGTAAAGCTGGCCGAGGCCGCAGCACCACAGTTGTACTCTGTTACTTGGTAATCATCCACAATGCCACATGAATCATAACTTAATTTGTTAACAATTCTTATCTGTAGTATTTCCTCAATTAAAACAGGTTAAATACAAGAATATGACACCCGAGGCTGCATACAAGCATGTGAGGTCCATTAGACCAAGGGTACTTTTGGCCTCATCCCAGTGGAAGGTATGAATAAGCTTGGTAGTTAATTTGTTGAAACACGATTGGTTCCCTTACTCTAAGCTAATGGTTGTTTATTGTTTAAAGACCTTCTGATGCCTCGAATTCAGATTTCACATTGATGCGGTCACTCAACTTTCGGTGGAGTTTCATTTTAGTCACTTAACTATTTTTTGTTCTAACTTTGCCACAACTTTCCTTACTATTCAGTTACATCACCAAGTCAGCTTTCATTAGTAAAACTAATGTATTATTCAACATGACACACTTTTTTGGTAGTGAAAGTGAGATGTCAAGTATTAGAACCTGCACAAAGAGTAGTCATTTAGCTCTAAGATAAAGGTCTAATGACGTCTATATAACTAAAAAATACTGGTATTTGTGGGTTAAATGTGAAAATTTTTAGGGACTATATTATAAGAAATCTTTGTTCTGACAGGCTAACTAGGACAATCTGTTTAGTTTTACTAACAAAAGCTGGTTCGGTGGTTTAATTGAAACAGAAAGGAAACTTGAGTGACCAATTTGAAATTTAAAAAAAGAAAAAGAAAAATGGAGTTGTACAGTGGCAAATGAAGCTTCATTGAAAGTTGAGGTTCAACGGTGCTTTTACCTATTATTTTCATTCAAACCTCTATTTTGCAAGTGGTACTCTGAGAGTTTTATTATTATTGGAAATTGATGGAGTTGCTATCCTTTTATAAACGCAGGCTGTTCAAGATTACTATCACAGATTGAAGAAACCTGGGTATGATGTTTACATGGATAATTCACCCAGTATAAGCTTAGGTATTGCTGGGAAAGTCGACCTGGAAGCCTTTGACGATAACTCTGTGGTGTTAATAACAGAATCTGACCTTGATGGATATGAAGAAAGTGATGATTTCCATGTTGTTCGTAAGAACATAATGGCAGATGTAAACCTAGCATGCAGGGTACACTTTGCCAGTCAAGCAGCCTTTTCTCGGCTTTCTTGCTTGTGGCTTCGTTGCCATGTGAGCCAGAAAGCATCGAGAGAGAACATGGAAAGCTGTATGGGAAATAGTCAGTTGGGGAATACAGGTGTTGAAATTCGTGTTTATTGAGATGTCATTTTCGTCACCTTGTTTTTGGAGTTACATATTAGATGAACAAGTAATAAGGATAGGTTATGTATACCCCTCTCCTCGTTTTTCCATTTTATTTGAGCTGCCAAATTCCAGGAAACCATGTGAAAACCTCGTGGTTCTGAGATGTTTATGGCTCATGGATTTCGAGCCCTTGTGGTTATGGGAAGTGTACCGATTGTATAAATTATGTCACTTTGTGTACTGAGTTGCCTGAAAGAAAGAAGAGTGAGGTTATGTACAGGATGATGACTTATTGGAATCCAATGAATATTGTTCCTCTCTCTCTTTTAATTCCCACCCACACCCCTCGAACCAGTTTTTTGCTTGAATGCTATGATCTTGATAGGCAAAACTCTTGAGTCGTAACTGGAGGATTTTGAAAAGCAATTTGAGGATATTTGGTTAAACATAATGTGTTGTGTTGCAATATAAATTGTCCCACAATGCGCGACTCTTTAGGCATTATAAGCAGCAGGGGCCTTTGTTGGAGAAGATGACAGAATCATGGTCCAATCTAAGAGTGCGGAAAGAAGCCTTGATACTTATTTTTGACACTTGTTACCTATTACAAAGGGAAAATAGTAGCTGGGATTATATTCGTTGTGTAGTGACCACTTCAGGTGGAAATTATCAAATTACGCCATCCTAAAAGTTTCTTCTGTTGTAATGGGTGGAAAGCTTGGCAAGAGTTGGCTAAATCTTGTGTACTCCTTCATGCTGAACATGTTTGGTATAGTCTATCAGATTCTACTGAAACGAGCCATGATAAATTTGCCCCGTGACTTCTAACCATACAGTTGAGAGTCTAGTCAATGTAGTATACCAAACATGCTTTGCAAAACCTGTGCAGAAATTGATACAATCTACCAATAGCGAAAGATAACCGGTTCTCTATTGTAACGTACGAAACAGAACACTAAAATGGGTAGACATTTATTGGCAGTTCCATTCAGACAAAGCCTATGTCCTCTATCCTGCTAGCACATTAGTTAAAGTCCAACAATCGTAATTCTTTAACCTTTCCCTCGTACTCTTGACTCAATCCAAGACCCTCATAAAGTTAGAAACTCTATATCTGCAAAAATCCAGGAAAAGATAAAGATAATAAGGGCAATACAAAGTAGACAAAAAAGGGGCTAAAAATGTTTGATTATTACACCCATTCTTTCAATTCTTAACATGCTCTTCACTAAACGATAACAATGCTTTGAAAATGTAGGAATCTAAAGAAAGGTAGCCCAGTACCCACGATACAGAGATTTGTTGGTGCCACCCAAAGAACATGTTGAAAATGTTGTTGGCTAACTTGGTTGACCTTAACCAAGAAACTCTTCATTTGCAGAATCCTAGAAAAGGAGATACCAGAAAATTCAAGATCTATATTTGGCAAAAACTGAAGTCAGATATGAGTATGGCAAAGCCGTGGGTTCATCTTATACCATTGGTCTTAAATTTGAATCGCATGACGCAGTGTCTAAATGGGGTCAGCAGCATATTATTCCACCAGCTAAACTAGACAACTTTCACAGTTTACAGTTGACTAGAATCATAATGTATAAACAGGGAAAGAAGCCAATGAATAAATGGATGGAGCCAAAACAGTAAGCTGTTAGGTACTCACGAGACTAGATGGTACAATGAAAAAAGAACTTAGTTTCTATTTTTCTCTCTTTATATTGTTTAGTCCAGTCTAAAACAAGCCTTAATGGTTGCAGTCCTCTGCAAAATAGAACCTAACCATATAGCAACGCAGTTGGAGACAACAAGTGCTTCCCCCCACCCACCCACCCCACCCTACCCTAACGATTGATAATCAATTGAATACTCAAAAAAAAATTCAATACCATAAATTACCAAAATTCATTTAGCATTTTATCTACTTCATGGAATCCTCAGTATAAATCTGAACATATTGAGTTTCGGTAAAATATCATGCAGTTGACAAGGTAATCCTACATGCATACAATGAACTTAAGAAGTAACTGCAGGATTTTCAGGATAGCGTCGCAGAATTACCTTATTATACAAGGTGAATACTAATAGAAGATTACAAGACAGTTAATACAACACAAAAATTACATCAAGAGGTAACTATTCAGCTTCTTCCGCCGGTGCCCTATGGTATATAATTGACACATTAGAACTTACAGGATCAGCATGATACTGGCCATAAAAGGCATAAATACCAACTGTAATAATGCTGAGGACGACAAATCTAACCCAGGCTTCATAGTGCAACTGCAAAATAAAGGTGAAAGTCGGCTTAGACTATATGTCATGGTTATGTGATTCTTGGTTAATACCCACTGCTTAATATATTATTACAGATGCTAGATTTAAGTACCTGGGCAAACAAAAATATGTTGAGGAAAATGCTAATGGTGGGAAGAATTGGAACTCCTGGACAAGAAAAACCTGGTGGATCTGCATAGAACTGCAAAAGAGAAGGAAACAAGTGAACTTCTTTAATGGCTCGTATCCAAACCTTTCATTTGGTGGTTAGATGACTAGAAATCCTACATCTAAATCCCACTATATTTCTAACGGATGCACATTACACAAAAATAAATATATATTCCTACTGAATTTGACTCTTGACTTCGTTTCACCATGTTATTGTATCATTTAACACGGCTTGCCGAAAAGAACTTGCCAGATATTAAATCTCATTAACTGGAAAGTCACTAGCCATTACACAACACTCAGAGGATGCACGTGCATGTCCATGTTTATATGCACATAGAATGATATATCCTGATGCAAGTCCAAAGAAACAGAATGTGCCCTCTAAGTTCTAATAAAATACTTTGTAAATTAGTTCTTTCTCCACTTGAATTGTCTTTAAAGGAAGTAACATGAAATTTTCAAAAGTATAAACTGCATCCCTTGCAAGTGAAATTGAAGTTAACTTACTTGTCGTAAGTAAAGAGCTGCAGCACAACAAATTGCAATAACAGTAGTTAAAATCATAAAAACAAATGAAGCCCCAAAACGGTAGAAGATTCCAGCAGCAAAACCGCAACAGGCAATTGTAAGGAGGCAGATGATGCCTTCAGCCCTTTTAGAAACCCATCTTGTAGAAATCTGACTTGCAGCCTTATCCGTCCAGCGAAGAGTTACTACACAAGCTGAAACAACAGAATAGCCTGTCTGGAACAGACAAATCACGGGTATCATCAAAGGCAGTCATAATGATTACTATTTATAAAGAGAGATATTATATGCATGCATGTATGTATGTAATAATGCACGCATGTATATCATCCTTTGATTTCTTTGACCTTCCAATTTATCTGTCAAACTTTCACTAAATTTGCATCCATTGCACATTGGAGAGCGAGCAACAGTGATTTCACTGTCTTGCTGCACTAACCTAACCACCATCCAATCCTCTTTTCCCCGTCAAACCCTTCCGACCCATATCCCACCACAAACTACCACCAGAGAAATTCATCACCAATAAACCACCACCACCCAGTACACCACTGAAGTACAATATGCCACCAATTCTGGGTAAAACTCTAAACTTCATAAAAGGGACTCTAGATTAGATGAGGCAGATTCTATGCCTATATATACTAATCCTGCCATGGGAGAACCAAAATCTTGGGCATTATAAATTAAATTAGCAGGATATATATATCTTTGGTAAAAAATTCATTCTGATCAACTGTTTGCAATGCTCATGGCCTCATGCACTGGTGCTTTATCAAACATTATTCTCATACTTTATAAAAGAATATGGATGTCATTCCTTCAATTTATCTATTAAAGTGGGGCGTACCTATTCCTAGTGGTCCATCTGATGTATGTGTATTTCCGAATCATTCCTCATAAATCAATTCGAGATCTTCAAAATGCTCGCCCCACTTTTCGCAAGACAGAGCTGCATGGTGATGTGCTATATGGTTATGCGAAAATATTAGGAAGTGAATGCAGAAAATCTTCCTGATGATGCCTAGATCAAAACAAAAGCAATCATAATGTTCTGTAAACTACATACCAATGAGCCAACTGAAAGAATGTGTGAAAGCACATGAACATTAAGAAGCCCTGACAGGATGATGGCAACCATACCAACCCAAATTTGAGAATGAACAGGGGTGTGTCATGTCGGATGTACTTTTGCAAATATTGGTGGTAGTAAACCATCCCTTCCAAGTCCAAGATATAAACGAGACTGATTATAAGAAACATGCAATCACTTTTCAGCATTTTGAGTAGGTTTTTTAGCCGAATTGCTCAGCAATAAACTGAATATATCACTAATTAAAGCTAAATACCACGTACCTGAACATAGAGACCAACTAGAAGTGTTGTAGTAAGTCCAGCAACAGCACCAATGCTGATCAATACTGATACGTATTTCAAACCCTTGGAGGAGAAAGCTTCAGCCAAAGGAGCATCTTCCCCAAGTAATTGGTATGGAACCATTCCAGTAATCACTAAGCAGACCCCGATATACAGCACAACACAGATAAGGAGGCTACCTATTATGCCTAATGGTAGGTCTCGCTGAAATATCAAGTTCAAGAGAGTAAGAACTGAAAACATATTCAATAGTCAATGAAATAAAAAAAATTGCCACAATGTCAAAATTCAACCTTTTTAAGACATACCTGTGGTCTCTTTGATTCTTCTGCTGAATTGGCAACGGCATCAAATCCTACATATGCAAAGAAGACAACTGTGGCTCCAGTCAATATTGCTTTAGCACCATTTGGGGCGAAAGGAGTCCAGTTTGAAACATCAACCTTAAAAGCTCCAACAATGATGACAAAAAGAACAATAACCACCTGCAGAATTTCTTCCCTGTCAGCCTAATAACACCCCCAGAATCATAAATATTGCTACTCTGCATCCAGCTTTGATTCAAAATGATAAATATATCACATCTAGAACATATCGTGGCCATTCATGCACAGGAATTATATTTGCAACAGACAGAAAAATGTGACCCGAACAATAAGCATGACCAATCCAAATGCATTATCTGGACCTGTATTTTATTTAGAGTAGCAAAAAGTATATCCACCATCCACAACTGAAATGTAAGATAAAATAAATAATAAATAAATGAGCAACCAATAGCCTACAGAAGATACCCTTTAGGGCATGCTTGGGAGTTCCAACGTACCGATTATGAGCCTTTTTCAAAGTACCAGTTTCAAGCGTTTATGAACGAATCGGTTATGAATAGTTTTAGTAGTGGTTTTTAAAATAGTTCAACCCATGCTTGTGAGTTTATTATCCACTGATTTTGACACTTCCTTAAAAAAGTAAATTTACATATAGTCCCTTAGTGAAATTTTGAGTTTATGGTTTTGTATGAAGATTTTTACTTATAAGTGATATTTTACCGATATGTAATTTTTTAGTTATATATAAAATTTATAATTATAAGTTAATTTTGTACTTTTAGATAATTTTTACTTATAAGTAACTTTTTATATTTTTTAACTGATTTCTTTGTCTTATTAGTAAGATTTTTATACAAAAATAATTATTTATCATATAAGTGATATTTTACTTATAAGTAATTTTTTAATTATAATATAATTTTTTTACTTGTAACTAATTTTTTTAGTTAGTATATTTTTATTTATAAGTTAGTATTAAACAAAATATGTTCGTTGAAAATAACTTTTTTTATTTTATAAAGGGTAAAATTGGAAGAAAAATTTGAGAAACGGCCAATAACCAACGATTTGGTGGGTTGAGATAATTGGTCAAAATTACACTACACCATTTCCGAGTGGTTTCTAAACCATCAAAAACCGGTGCTCAAAAAATTTAGCAAGCACAATTCTTCCAACCCCTCATAAATGGTGTCATCCAAAATCGGTCAAGACCGGTGAAAATAAAACTCCCAAGTAGGCCCTTAACCTCATTAATAACATCTGGCAAGAATTGTGATGCTTGGATTTGGATTCAGACTCTCCAATATATAAAAATTAGTTAAAGTGCACATATACTTTTCTTAAGATAGTTTTAAGGCCCACAACCATGGGTGTCAATAGTTTCAGCTCAGCTTTGATTCAAAAGGTTAAATAGATAAAACATAAAATATTGCTTCTATTTAGCAAAATTTATAAATCATTTATAAACCAAAATCTTCAAAGACTTCCATCTGAGAAAGATCCTTTTTTTGTCAGTCATATCCAGTGTCCACAGGGATTTCAAAGAAAAAAAAATGAAAATGAACTTTCGATAGGACAAAATTAACCAGTGTGTGGCTGGCTTACTGATGATTAATACAAAGAGATACGAGGAGGCAAGCCCCCCATCTTCCCACATATCTTGATGCCATTGCAAGTGTAAAGACAAATCCCATCATGGCACAAAAGCTTGACTTTATTACTTTAATTGCCTATTTATTATTATTATTATTATTGCCTGTGCCAGTTTGCGCCAAGAGTTATGCTACATGTACAAAGTTGGTTGACAAAATAAAATCTATACCAATCATTTTAAAAACAGATTTTTAAATCATTTGAAATCAACGATCTGAATTTTGCCAACACACTTTGTAATCCAACTTTCGTAACTCAACTTTGTACAAATAGATTTATTGTTGCGCCAAACTCCCCTCCTAGTTTCATTCTGGGTCAAATGAACAAAGTGTAAAAAAGTGTATAATCGGGAATAACCTTTGTCACTGTCATGAGTGAATTCAATATTGATGACTCTCCAACTCCCCAACAAAGAACTATAGTCAGAAGCATTAGGAGAATTGGAGCTAGTATATTGATAGATAATGCTCCAAGAACTTCGTGACCATGCCCAAACCAGTTTGGGATGTTATCCTTGAAAAGGGGAATGAGCTCCAGTAATGAAACTACATAGCTCGCTAAGCTACGTGCTATGCTAGCTGCACCAATATGATAGTCTAGCATCAATTGAGCAAACACAAGAAAAGCGGTAAGCTCGTTGAAAGCCGAGTATGTATAAAGGTAAGCTCCCCCAACAACTGCCGGAAAGCGAGAAGCTAGCTCAGCATAACAGAGTGCATTCAGTACACAACATGCTCCTGCAATGATGAAGCTAATTGTAACTCCTGCATGGGGGAAGTAAAAAATGAGGCGTCAGTGATCAGTGACACAGAAATTACCAGGTCAAATAGATAAATTTTGAGCAACATTGACAAAGAGCGGTTCAGTTTCAGGTGAATAAAATTACTTGGTCAAGCATTGAAAAAAAGGGTTTCAGTTACAGGGTCAGTGAACCGCTGCCGATTCTCACACTAAATGAGGTTTTCGATTTCAGGTGAATAAAATTCAAATGGGAATACCATAGCTTAGCTTGAATAAACTGCCTGAGGAGAAAACTGTATACCAAAACTTAGAGGCTGAAAATATTAAATAATTTGAAATATATTGTTCGGATAAGAAGAGGATTTGGCTAAGCATTTCAAATATAGATCTTTAAATAGTTCGATAATTAGTTGAGAATAGAGACGATTAATAATTATACCATTTTCTGAAGAATAACAAATTCATCATAAAAATTTAACAGCACTTAATAGATTTGACTAGTTCAAGTCCGTAGGAACTCGACATCATCCAACCATGAATTCGTCATACAGATAAATCTATACATTTTAATCCTTCAATCCAAACAGACCACAAAGAAACAAAATTTACCCGAGCCAAGGTGAAAGAAACGTTGATGTTGAAAATTCATTTACCATAAATACTATGGATCTGCCTATCAAAAAATAAATAATATGGATCTGAGACAGACGTGTCCGAATTGGAAGGTTTTCCTATTTTGTTGACCTCAAATAATTAAATCACTCAATAGAAATAGGACGTAGTTTTATCAGCAATCCAATAATGCTTATTTGGCAATCTAGTTTACTGGTAATACAACACACTTCACTGATGAATTCCTGAATTTCCTTTATCACCCATATATAGGTTATCAAGTGCCATCGAGTCAAACATTATTTAGTATAACCAAATTCAGGTCAGTTTATGCACTTCCCGTGGATTTTAACATACGAATATTCAGTGGCAACACAAAACATAGCTGATTAAATCTTGCTGGCAGCTACATGAAAATCTTTCATACTTCATCTTTTGAAGCAGAATTCAGATTAAAATAAATGAAAAAAATCATAAAAAATAAAATTCAGAGAAACAGAATGATAAACCAAAGCCTCTTCATAATTGATAAAGAGCTACTACAAACATCGGGGGAACTGCATACCATCCTCGCGGTTTCTGCACAATAGTCTCCCGCCATCTTGGCCAAATGGAGTGAATCTCTTTTCAGATGAAATGACAATGTCACAAAAAATTCATACTTCTACATTTTTTGCATTTCCATTTCGCACATTAAATGATTTAAATCTATGCGGTTTCCAACTCATGTGTTATTTGCCAATTCCCCGAAAAAAAAAATCAATTTTTACAATCAAAACACAAAGGATACATTCAGGCCGTTGATGACAAGATTTAAATGAACACAATTTGAGCTTAAACTATTTAACACACTAAAATTATTTAGTGAAATCAGAATTGCTCACCAGGACCGGCGTCTTTAGCGACCGTGCCGGTGACGACAAATATTCCAGCGCCAATGGAGGCTCCAATCCCTAGGAGAATGAGATCAAAGAGGCTTAAACGCCGGACAAGTCCCTCGCCGGAATTGGTGAGGACATGAGTCTCCGATGCCGGAGATAACGGTTTGGACCTCAACGCCGACGACCAGAAATGAGAGAAGTGTGATGATGACGTATGCACAGAACTCTGTTCAACACTCATTCTGATCGGAATGAAAAGTGCGGAGTTTCAGGGGCACCAAACGAACTCGCACCAAACGAACTCTACTGCATATATGCAAGTCATGAAGGTACAACGCATGATGCACGACGTACAATGATTAATATAGACGGTTTTTCTGTCTTCTGCAATCATAGAGGGGAGATTCATTTGTGGTAGGTAAAAAAAAAAATTTATTTCTATATTTCAATATTTTTGTCACGTGACAATATCTTTTAATACTTTGCCCCATGGTTTGGTGTTGATTAAATTAAGATTTTTAGTAAATTTTCATAAAAATTTATAAATTATGTATTTGAAAATTTGTGAATTCCCTGAAATGCTTGATTTAAATAATTATTTTGTTGACTTTGATTGGATTTCATGAAATTTTTTATTAAAATTAATTGTTGAAGAAATTTTTTTATAAGTTATTTATAAATGAATAAATTTTATTTTCAACAAATTAAATCATTTATAAATTCTTTCCAAACAAAGAATTAATTCTAATTACCATAGTTATTAGACCCGAGGCACTGGGTTTCGGGTTACTAGTTGAACCAGTGGTCATTGTATAAAAATCTATAAAAAAAAAGTTAAGGCAAAATTATTTTTCACTCGTAATTTAAGTCTATAAAATAAAGTAAAAGGCTTGACCACAATTTTTATAAAAATAGTTTTAGAAAACATATATATGATTCATTAGATAGATACATATAACTTATTGTACAAAAGAAATAGTGAAGTACTCTACAATTCCAATGATGAAGGACTAATTCTTTTACTTGGAGTCCAAGCTTAAGTTCCTTGGATCCCAAAATTTTAAAAGATAATTTTGAAAATCGGTAAATCGGTCGGTTTAACTCAATCAAAACCGATTTTTGATCGAGTAATGTGTATTCCTATTAAATTAATTTACCCGACCCTGACAAGGGCTCGGGTCATTTTCTTGCCCAACCGACCGGTCCGGACCGACTTTTATAACTATACTAATTACACCTAGATCCTTGCCCCGATAAATGAATTAATACTTTTTACTCGAGTTCCACTGTGGACTATCTACGATCCAACAAAAAACGAATGGTAACTTGTAAGAGCCTCAATTAATAGTTGATACCCATTATTCATAAATTATAATTTATCGCAATATAATTTGAGCAACTTAAAACGAAACACGAAAACCAAGCACCATGAAATGGAAACAGCGGCCCATAGTATACAAAAATATAATTTAAATCATTATCTACGGTTTAATTAGTGATATTCATTTATTATTCACATATTTCATGATATATATATATATATATATCAACTTCTATCAAAATCTACTAAAAATTTGATTTTTAACTATATAAACGGAGGTTTAATAAAAATGATCATATAAGAAATTATAAATTGAGAATTTCACTAGTGACGTATATTTAGCAAGTTGGGCTCCATTTTTTGAAAATGCATTTTTCTCTTTTTTAATTTCAATCACACATTCTCCAATAAAATAATATTACACGTAAAAAAATTCCTCATTTTTTAACAACACGTTCTAAAAAAACCTTATTTAAAAATATATTTTCTCTCAAAATTTGCTTTTAATGTAGACCAAATATGGGCTTAATTTTATATTTTTAAAAAAATTTCAGAACCACTTGATAATAAATTTTCATAGATTAGACTGTTTTAAGCACAGCTACTCAAAATCACTCGAAATCGAACCCCTCATTAGAGTTCAAAACAAGTTGTTTAAAAATCCCCATAACAGATATCCCAAAACTCCCAAGCAGATCCTATAATTTTATTTCCTCATTATAACATATACGCGAACATCTAGTAACCATCTTAAATCATTGAATTAAAGAAAATTTTGATTTTCTGTGTAATTTTTATTTCGTATTCCAACAAAAAGAACAACCATTGAAGACACATCTTCACGAATAGAGACTCTAGAGGATCCTTCGATTCCCCTAGAAGAATTAATCATAATGAAATAAGACGTCATGGACATTAGTCAGTAATGGTTCTGATACCAACTCAAGTTTTCACAAAGAAAGAAAAAAGATATTTTTGGAAGAAAATTGTTTATAATTGACAATGATATTAATAATTAACGTCAAGTATAATGCTAATAATACAATGGTAGATATATAAAATATACAGAAGTTGAAGAGCAATATCTTGGACACATACAAAGATACTCTGGGATTGTACATGTATTAGTCCAAACGCTTTGCATAGATTTTTTTTAAAATCATTTTCCCCATAATTATTTTCAGTTGCACATTCTATGTAGTATGTTGCTTTTATGGTATTTGGGTTTCGACGTATAGGCTAGTTTAGTATACAGGACAGAATTCAACAGTTTTTCTGAAAGTTTTCTATATAATTATTGTAACACATCATGATTTTGTAGGGGAATGGATTTTGTTTCAAAGAACATACTTGAAGCTTAACGTTGATGCATTCAGGAAACGAGGAAAGTGAATTTTCAGTGTCGGAGAAGTACATAAATGATAGGGGCACGTGGTAGGTTCATTCGTGAAATCAATTACAGACAAGCTTTTACCTTTTGTCGTCGAATGCGTTATTATTTTTTAGGTCTGTAATTTGTGGAATAATGAGCCTTGCGAATCACCACAACTAAATTAAACTCATCATGTGTAGTTATAGTAGTGGAATTCGATCATTTTTGCTCAGGATGGTGTGTTCTTCAAGAATATTAACTCTCTTTTACTTCATTGTCCATCGTCATATTGTTATTGTTTAGGCGGAAAATAAATGTAGCTCATGCCCTTTGCCTCGAGCACTTTCTTTATTTCAAAATTTGATTCGGATTGGTCAACTACCTTTCATTGATATAATTATTCATGTTCAAGTTATTAAATGAGAGTTCCATTTTGGATTTATAAAAATATATATGATTTTATAGGTTAATCTAATAAAAAAAAATAAAAATTCATGGTAGACCCGTGTCGTTCAAGTATAATCACTGTTCAAATCTTGTTAAGAATCTATTGGAAGTAGGTTCTAGAAGTATTATCACCAGTTTTCTTTCTTTCTTTCTTTTTTTCTTTCTATCAATACAATCCCATGAAGATATTACTTCAAAACAAACTTGGATCAATTTCCTATGATCACATACATGATAACTCTAATAACGGCCAATATCATTAACTTAACGACCAGTATCACAAATAATGTATTTTCTTTGATTGTACTTTCACGAGCTATTCGCTGTCTAGCTTTTTCTCATGTTTTCATTTACTGAGAACATATGTTATACAGATGCTCCAATATTTTCCTATCCATCGTTGTAGACGTACAATTAGTTTCATTCTTCACTCCACAAGTTGTCTGATCTTTCCAATGAACCAATTACTCGGTTATTCTTAATAGACATGATTGAGAAGTACTATCATGATGTTTTTCTTCTTGCTATCAATCCTACCTTGTGAGATATCGTTCGTGATCCAAAACAGATATATATCAATTTTTTAGGTATGGAGACAATACCTCTAAACTATATCACATCAATATATGTTCCCTTCTCTAATCATACCGTCAAGAACTAATAATTATCTAACTTTCAATCATATTTTCGTCTATTCAAAATTTCCGAAATCTAACTAGTTAGTGCAACACCCAAACAAATGCAAATCTTCCAAAAATATGAAAATAGTTGATTATATTCTCCAACTCACGAGCTGTATATTCTTTGTAATGCACAAATGCCAGAGCTTTTGATAGAGTAACCTCCCATTGCGTCCCTCTCCAAGGTGCACCTCCCATTTTTCCCCTTAACCCCTTGAGAATTACACCAAAATTTATCCTTTTTCCTGTAGAAAGGTTAGATTTTCTCGCATCTGGAAATTGGAACACGCCATCGAGGGTCTTATAATTGCGTGTGCTCGTGCACGTGCAGAGAGAGCGGAGTGACAAGTGTTCTGGGGCTCTTTCTCTCACCGCCTCGATAATTAACTTACCTGAATTCTCTGCGACCCTTCATCACCTCTGTCTTCTCCAAACACACACAGAGATATGTGTGCATAATAATAGCTAGAGATTTTTATGCACATAGCTTTATGTCCATCTAAATTTTGTTGTGTATACTTGTTTTTATTGAAAATTTTCTTACAGGGTAGTAGATTTATGCACAGCCTGGAGATATAAGGGTTTAGAAAAAGCCCACAAGGGTAAAGCACCCAGGTTTGTGGAAAAACGCATTGACTTCTCTTTATTGTCAATCACAAACTTGTTGTCATGCATTTATGATTGGGGATTTTCTGTATTTGACTTGATTCCGTGTGTTGAAAGGGCATTCCATTTCTGAAGATTTACTGAAATTTTGTGCGACTGAAACGTTTTTTTTTTTTTAATTCTATGTGCTTGCATGTTCATCAATGATTTTGAAAAGAGTTTCTCTTTGAGGTGTAAAAAGTTCTTGCCGCTGAGATTTTGAGCGGAGGCCACTAATTGTTGAATTTTGGTGGTTTCAGGTCAAAGGACGTTCATATATGAATTGGTTGTGTATCATTTAAGTGGATTCTATCTTGGGATGGCTGTTTTTGGTTTTGACATTTCAGGGAATTAAGATAAAAGGCAGTCCTTTCCTGAGATAATTTTTCAGGTTTTTACTTCGTTTGGCTTTATCGTTGAGTGAATAGTGTTTCCATTTTGTGTACGCTTCTGGCTTTAAACCCTGGTGGATTGGTTTCGTGTTGTAAACCAGTTGAAGTATGAGTCGGAGGGTGCGGAGGAGGGTGGAAAGGAGGGGCACAGCAGAAGTGGAAGGCCAGGAGATTGAGAGGTTGAGTTCTGACATGAAAGGTGTGGTTGATTGGACTAGATTGCCTGATGATACAGTAATTCAGCTTTTTTCATGTCTGAACTATCGTGATCGTGCGAGCTTGTCATCAACCTGCCGGACATGGAGAGTTCTGGGTAAATCTCCATGCTTGTGGCAGGTATTGGATTTAAGGCCCCATAAGTGTGATGCTGCTGCAGCTGCTTCTCTTGCCTCTCGATGCAAGAATCTTCAAAAACTTCAGTTCCGGGGTCCTGAATCTGCTGGAGCTATCATAAATCTTCAAGCTCGGGGTTTGCGTCAGATTAGTGTCGATGGTTGTCGGAAAATTACGGATGCTTTGTTATCTGTGCTTGCTGCTCGACATGAGGCACTAGAGTGCCTTCAGCTTGTGCCAGATTTATGTGAAAAGATCAGCAGTGATGCAGTAAAAGCAATTGCCATTTGCTGTCCCCGACTGCAGAAACTTTGGCTCACGGGTATACATGAAATTGATGCAGATGCTATCAATTCTTTGGCAAAGTATTGTCCAAACTTGATGGATATTGGATTCATTGATTGTCGAAAAGTTGAAGAGACTGCTATGGGAAACGTTGCGTCAGTCCGCTTCCTATCTGTCGCAGGGACACGTAATATAAGGTGGGGTTTGGTATTACAACACTGGAAAAAGCTGCCTCACTTGACAGGCTTAGATGTTTCTAGAACAGATATTACACCTAATGCTGTTTTAGGACTGTTAAAATCATGGCAGAGTTTGAAGGTCCTGTGCGCCTTAAATTGCCGAGCACTTGAGGAAGATGCGGCCTTTGTTTCCAATAACAATCATAAAGGTAAAGTTCTGTTTTCTGTCTTTACAGACAATTTTAAAGTTGTAGCTTCGCTATTTTCCGATACTACAAAGAATGAGAGGAACGTTTTCTTGGATTGGAGAAATATGAATGATAAGGATAGAAAGTTAGATGAGGTAATGAAGTGGCTGGAATGGACCCTCTGCTATGCACTTCTACGTATTTCAGAGAGCAACCCACCAGGTTTGGATAATTTTTGGCTCAACCAAGGCACCTCTCTGTTACTTAGTTTCATGCAGAGTGCAGAGGAGGAAGTTCAAGAAAGAGCGGCTACAGCTCTTGCTACTTTTGTCGTAATTGATGATGAAAATGCCAGTATTGACCCCGGAAGGGCTGAAGCAGTTATTCGAGTTGGGGGCATACGTCTTCTTCTAAACCTTGCGAGGTCATGGCGGGAAGGGCTTCAGTCAGAAGCTGCAAAGGTAAGAGTTTTTATGAACGGTTCTAAACCCGTAATTTTCAGTCTTATGAACAATTTTAAAGTTTTCTTTAGCATTTTTGCCTGTAGAAGTTCAAAGATAATAATCATTAGTTGTGTTAAATTTGCTTTAAATGTTCAGGCTATAGCAAACTTATCAGTGAATGCCAATGTCGCAAAAGCTGTGGCAGAGGAAGGAGGGATCAATGTTTTGGCAAATATGGCTAGGTCTATGAACAGGCTGGTTGCTGAAGAGGCTGCGGGAGGACTCTGGAACCTCTCTGTTGGTGAAGAGCACAAGGTTGCTTCTCTTCCGTTCATATTATATTATTTTCATTTTATTTATGCCATCTCTTTGAAATAATGATAAATCAAAATCTGCTTCCAGGGTGCCATTGCTGAATCTGGTAGTGTAAAAGCTTTAGTTGATCTTATCTTTAAGTGGTCTGGCACTGCTGAAGGTGAAAACGTTTTGGTATGTGTCACGTGTATTTAAGTTTTTGTGGGTAATTTTATGTGTGATTACATTGCTCAGTAATGGAATCCTTTCTGAACAGAGGTGCTTTACAGTGGTCAAGTGGTAATGGTTGGTTCTTTTCTTGATTTCAGGAACGTGCTGCAGGTGCATTGGCAAACTTGGCAGCGGATGATAAATGCAGCTTGGAAGTTGCTTCAGCGGGTGGAATACCTGCTTTAGTAACTTTGGCAAGGAGTTGCAAGGTTGTAGGAGTGCAAGAGCAGGTTGCATTTCCTCCGTAAAGATATAAAGAACTAAACATTTCACTTCTGTGTCTACCATCACTATGTTTGAAGGGCTGTCATTCATATTACAACTAGTAGTTTGGCATTCAACAGACAATGATGTTTCCATGCTAGAATTCATAAACAAATATGATTTGCTAGGATCAGATGGTCTTGAGTTGCCAGACTATCTATTTCACATAACTTGTCATGACATACCTATTAAAGCTTCTTTCCTTTTTCTTTATGTCAGGGTACACTAACTTTTGCATATGCCTTGTTGCATTGATGATCTCCTTCGTATGTGTAATTTGTAATTTTTTTTATTAATAAAGAGCTTACATATGTTAAAGTTTGATAGTTTCATTATACTTTGAAAATTAAGTTCGGCAAGCCTTTCAAGATATAGATTCTGGAAAAAGTTATTTGTTTCCAAATCCATTCCAATATACGGTACTGGAGTCTGAGTGAAAGTACTGCGTAACTTGTTACCTTGTTTATATCTAGAACGTCTCCTTTGCACTTAGTTCTGTCATTTCCTATGAGAAGAGGAGTCCTGTAACAGGTTGTCTTAACTCTTAGATGTTACTCCATGGCTAGTTAGGTTTTCAGTTTGCCTTTTTATGCACAAAAGATATCTCCATATTGAAGAATTACGTTTCCAATTTCTCACCAATGTTCCTTGTTATTGTCCAGGCGGCTCGTGCCTTGGCAAATTTGGCTGCTCACGGAGATAGCAATGGTAACAATGCTGCTGTTGGAGAAGAGACGGGAGCTCTTGAGGCACTTGTGCAACTTACTCGCTCTTCTCATGATGGTGTCAAGTAATGCATTTTTAAAATTTGAAATTTCAGTCACCGGTTTCCTTTTATAAGGGATTTGCATGGATAGCTTCATTTCTGCTTTTCTTAATTTGGAGAATACTTATTGCGCATAAAAATGGAAAACACAACACTATCTTTGTCTGGTATACAGGCAAGAAGCTTTCCAACACTATCTTTGTCTGGTATACAGGCAAGAAGCTGCTGGCGCATTATGGAATTTATCCTTTGATGACAGCAATCGAGAAGCAATTGCAGCTGCTGGAGGCATTGAGTCATTGGTATTGCATTCTTCTGCTTTATATTATTATGTCTTTGTTGCAGCATATCCCCTATAACATCCAGTAGTGCTCCGTGGTCAAAAATACTTTGCCGGAACTATGAAATACGGCTTGAAACAACTTGTCTCAAGTATTTTTGAAGTGTGGGGACGAGTTGACAATCCTGGAAGCCTTAATTTTATCCAAAAAATGCAAATCCTTTGAAGTGCCATTAAAGATTTGAAGCTTAACGTGGCTGTGGGGTTAGATTTGAGGTCTGCCACTTTGTGCAACAATGCAAAAGTTAAGGTCAATATTTATCCCTAAAGCATCCTTACATGGTGGGGACCTAATCGTATGGGCCTTCTGCTTTTATGAGCTGGCTACTCTTCCATGAAAATGTCTGCCCCTACCCCGTCAAGAAAATAAATGAAATAGAGGAAAAGTGAAAAGAAATGTTGTCCCTTTATATATGTGCTGTTACAAAGGGTGTTCTTGTTTAAGTAATTCCACCTGGCAAAAGTTGAACTATGAATTTCTTTGGTTTATGTGGTGCTTACCATAACGTACCAATATTATGGTGATAACAGCTGATTTAAGATTCCCGAATAAGGAATTTATTTTTCTGAAAACCTTGTTTAATAGTACTTACGAGAGTACTTCAAACTATAATGAACAATACTATGTTGACATGGATGTTAAAATAAATTCTTGGAATCTTGTTTGTATTTTGGCTTCTGACAGGTGACTATTCTTCTAGCTTAGTCTGAAACATTTCATTATGTTCCCTATGACTATATAGTAATCAGCTCGAGCTTTGGGCCTGTGGGGACTAGGAGCAATAATTGAAGAAACCTAGCCCATATATAATATGCACGCACGAGCTTGTCTCTATCCTTGTATGAGGAACGTTTTGAATAGTTAATTTGCCTTTGCCTTATTTTTGTTTATAGAATTATTGTATTTAGAAATATTATTTTATCTATGTTCATGCATGTGCCTGTCCATCAGACTCTACACGTCAGGCTTCCAAGATGCTAACAAACATATATTATGTTTGTCGACATCATACATGAAATTTATCCTGGAAGTGAATCCTTCTATAAATAGTCTAGTTTTCCTTTTAAAGTGTTTGCTGGCCCGTCTTTATTGTGTGCACTTGAAGTTCTCTGCTAGGATGGTTTATTTGAATTCTTACAAAAATGGAAACGACAAATAGAATTACTTAATTACATATGCATTGTCTTATGTCAGCCTGTTGCTTCTGCATTGTGTGTGCCCGTTTAAAGGATTCACAATTCATTGTTCAAGTGTGCTTTACATATCTTTACACGCTTGCACAGGGGCCTTAATGCGCAAATTTGCTCATTTATATGTTACCTTTCATGTAGATGCATGCACTGGATATTGGAGTTTTTAAGTTTGCCTATTGTGTTTGGTGAATATTTCTGCTGCCACGATCATATGGCTTGCTTGTGATTGAATCCTTAAATCTACCAATTTGAGTTTATCATAATAACATCACTGCTAGTTGGTGCCATGCATTAATATGTGTGCACTCATGGTGGTTGACTGTATCACAAAATAAGCTCCATATCTGTTTGGAAATTCAAAATTCGGACTAGTCGAGCTCTGAACCAATTTTATATTGGATGAATCTGCTCTTGGTGGATTTTTTCACTAGTTTCATGACACCTGTTGTTTGGTAAACTCAAACAAAAATTATCGTAGTTTATAATACCGGTGACTGTCAGTTATAGAGCTATACATCTAGTCATTGCATATTATGCGCTTGTTGGTTCGTTCAGCTACAAAAATGGATTAAAATCTAAGTCAGTCGATAATTAATTTTAAATACAAAGTTCATGGGATCCAAACTTTTCAATCACATATTCTATCATCTTTTATCAAAAATCTACTAAAAATTTGATTTTTTGTCTAAACCAAACGGCGGCTCATGAAAGAAGTTATGGGACTCACCAAATTTTTATTTGGCTCCCACGCAAATCACGTGTTACTTGTTTCAGCTCGAGCTTTTTATTTTATTTTTTAACTAAAGGGACCAATCTAAAACAGAGTTCACCGTTGGCCATACTTCCTAGGTGCGGATCCCCTAACAGATACATACATGAAAGGAGTAAATGGACCTGTAGTGTTCCCAGAACCTGTTTTTGGCTTTACAATTAGTAGAAAAGTATTGAACATTTCAATATCACGTTTCTTCTTCTTACCCCATATACTATAGAGAATTTATAGCATATCTATGTAAAATCAAACCCTGTTATTGCAGTTATATCAAGGAAAAATTACACTTTTTCCTGGTATGACTAGCACTAATTAATTTCATGGATGATGCCGTCGCAACAATATTCTCGCTTGTTTTTCCCCTGTTGTCTGCACAATAGGCAACTCTTCTCTTATCAAAAAAAACAATAGGCAACTCTTCCTTCCCATTTTAATTTCTAGTTCACAATATTGCCAAAAGCTTTGGATAGGAAACTTCTGCCGAGTTACTCACGAAGAGTCCTTCATTTAATTCATATATTCTTAATGCAGTGGAAAACCTCTTTCTAGTCTAAATGAGGTTTCTAATATTTGAGTTATTAAGGAACTTATCCCATGTAGCATTATGGATTTTGTCTGAGCATTCTTGATTTTATCACTATTTCTTAACCTTCACTTCTCAATGAATTTTTGGGACAATATTTACTCCTTGCTTTCCATAAGTGCAAACATGTTACCCTTCATCAAGTCATCTGTATCCAAATATTTCGCATACATAAAATTTGCAATTTTGTTTTGTATTTTTTTTGAAAACCTTTTCCAGGGTTGACTTATGCTGCTGAAGGTTATCCTTAAGGAATCATTATATTCTTAATATTCCTAAAAGGTGATAGTTTTGGCTCATGATAATCTTATGTGGTTGTTTAGGTTGCTCTTGCACGTTCCTGTTCAAATGCCTCTCACGGCCTTCAGGAGAGGGCTGCTGGTGCTCTGTGGGGATTGTCCGTGTCAGAAGCAAATAGGTGTGTGCAAAAAATTGTTTTTATTTTCGCATAGCTGCTGCTAATAATGATGTATGCCAAGTCTGTGTAACAGAGTTTCTTTGTGTAGTGGTTCCTAACATGCTTTGCCCCTGTTTGGACTCCATTAAAATGAGATTTTGGGGGAAAATGTGTTTTGTAATAGTGATATTTTGGAGAACGTGTGGTTAAAAAATAAGGAAAAATTTTGGGTTTATGTGTAACATTATTTTATGGGAGAATGTGTGGTTGAAAATGAGTTTTGGAAAAATGGAGTCCAAATAGGGGCTTTAAGTGATTTTATCATTTTCTGTAGTAATTTATACATACTGTGGAAATAATTTAGGAACAACACATCATATTGCATAATCCTTCTGACATGAACAGCGTTATATGACTATATATGACGAGGTAGCATTTGTCTATTATACGACACTATATAAAGAGAGAACATTTGTCTATGAAAGAACAAAGCATCAGATGACGTTCATTTTTTAGGCCTGATTTTAAAACAGTGAGTTTTGATTCTTCAAAGAGCTGGTCAATACTTATTATTTTCATGATCAATCACAATGCCATGGTATTTGATGAACACTGAATTGCTGTCATTACATAGTTTTCATTTTTCTCATTGCCTTGAATTTTATATACCATGTATTTGTTGCTTTTGTAATAGCATTGCCATTGGACAAGAAGGAGGCGTGGCACCACTAATAGCACTGGCACGATCAGATGCTGAGGTAATTTCATATTCAGGAAATTTAATTGGTTCTTTCTGAATCATTCTGTATGTAATTCAAGTATTGTTTCTGTTCCCTCTATCCAATTACCCGCGCTTAATTGTTTGGTTGTGCCTTACCATGATAAAGTGGTAGGTTGTTTGTGGTGTCAAGTTGCATTTAGTGATTTATTTTCATTAATTTCCCCATGGTCAAATATTACTGTGGATTTTAAATCAAAGCTTATAAAGAACGTATTGTGGCTATGCCACACAAAGCTTCTTTCCATTTATATGTATCCCTCAAAAACATCCCTACAACATCACACCAACTTTATATAACTCCTAGAATTATCTTCTTGAGCCAAGAGCCATGAATGAATTAAGAAATTGACAGCATATAGAATCACTGATTCTTAATCAACCTGATATTCATACAATATATATAACTAGGGGTAATATTGAGATAATGCACTGTCACATGAGAGACTTGGTTTATATTCTTCAGTCTTGCGTTCTTAAAAGGTTTGAGTTTCCGAAATGACTTCAAATGGTACTTTGAGAGTCAAACAAATTGGCATGAGGACATCAATACACACATATTAGGAAATATAATTGTAATACCCAGACCAGAAAAGTTTAAAAAGATTTGATAGGTACTACTCATACCAACAAGGTGCACCTTCTTTTTCGGAAGTCAATCGTTAGAAACTCCACAGTTAAGCGTGCTTGGCTTGGAGCAATTCTATGATGGGTGACCCACTGGGAAGTTTTCTCGGGGAGCATGCGAGTGAGGACAAAGCATGCTGAAAAGACACATGTTGGTACAGTGGGGACAGTACGTCGTCGATCTAACGGTCGGGACAGCCCATTAAGTGGGACCCATGTCGTTACAATAATAGCCCGATCTTTATAAAAAAACGCTGAATTGCCTGAGTTTATCTTATTGTTCATAAAACTCCTAATATTTTGATAATTAACCTAAAGAAAACTTCACTGGGGCCTGTTATGTTATAATAAAGCCCTACACTTGATTCATCCATTTAACATGATTGGGTGGAATTGCATTGTCAACATATTGAAATCAGCTCTATAAACTTGTTTCATGTATCGTTGTCAGTTGTCACCATTAATGATGACAAGGATGTCACTGCACCAAGTTTATATCCTTGGAGAAGATAACTTCAGGAATAGAGAAGCAAGTGTGTATCTTATTAATAATTATAATACTTCATAATTCATCTTGCTTTGACAGAAGTCCTTCTATAGTATTAATTATTAGAATGGAAATTGCAACATAATCATTAACTCTATTATATTGTGTGCACGTGCGCGTGCATATTCTTGCTTACTTTGTTTACAACCAAATACTTGGACAATTCCTTGCAACTTTTTTGTATAATCACTAACTCAATAACGAGTACAGAGGCTTCATATAGTTTGCATTTTCTACGTGTTGTGTGAAAAGTTCTGCGATAATAGAAATGCTAAGGAATCCTTAATTAAAGTGATAATTCATGAAACACTATAGAAAATAGAGTTACTTGAATTCAATGATGACGATTGACATTGATTGATCATGAACTGAAGTTCCAACTCGCAATACATAAATTGTATTTCTATGTTGGATGAAAATGCTTTGGAAATTTATGATCATGTTCATTTGACAAAATTACAGGAATATATAAGAGTCAAGTGATTACATGAAACTCAACCTAAGTTACCTTCAAAGCTATATTAGGAGCTTTTTATGTTAAAGATTAAATTTTACTTTTATCCTAGGAATTGTATACAGTAAAGAAAATGTAAATCTCTGTTCAAATTCACGGACTTGGACACTGAAGGTGGCATTCCGTTGATGATATGTGATCCTTTTTAGTTATTATCACTTTCTTTTAGTATCACAAGGATCTTAGGTGGAATTAGAAATCTAAGCATCTTCAGTTTTCTTACCGAGCTGTGTGGGTACTTGACTATTAAAAAATATTGTTTGTTTTAAGAAACATTTTGCTCTTTGATTCCATCAGTAGGCATTTTTGGCTTTTCTTTATTCGGACCAGCGTGTGCCACTTCTGTGTTTGAATAATTATTTTTAACACTTTACCTTCTGAAACTTCTAATAAGTAAATTGCATGCGCTATAATTATTTGTGGAGAAAAGTGGTAGTAATACATATTCAATATATTTTAAAACTCAAAAAGGTCTTTTCTTTCCAAAGTTCTTTTATGTTCTTGTTTCTTCCTTCCTGATAATATGTGAGAAGTGAAGTTGCTAAAATGATCTTAAAGGATTAAGATTCAGAAAATTTGTAATTCAGCTACTGTAAAGTCAGGACTCAGAAATCTTCAGAGTTTTGTACTAAATTTTAAAAGTGGTTACCCCTTTCCTATTGATGCCTTCCATATTGAATTGATTTATGGTGTAACTGTAATTATTCATTAGCACCATGTATTAATTGTTCAGCAGACATATTCATAACTATTTTTACATGAATAGCGTCTGATACAATGCTTGATGTGCTACTTATTCTTGTTTCTTGTTAAGACTTTTTTATCATTATGCAATCTGGATTGATCTCGATGTATTCATCAATTTCTAGGATGTCCACGAGACAGCTGCTGGGGCTCTTTGGAATCTTGCTTTCAATTCTGATAATGCTCTCCGTATAGTAGAGGAAGGCGGGGTTCCTGCCCTGGTTTCTCTTTGTTCTTCTTCTGTGTCAAAAATGGCCCGCTTCATGTCGGCGCTGGCTCTGGCATACATGTTTGATGGAAGGTACTTAATCTTCTGAATCCAGATACAAGTATATAATATTCTTTTCTCCTTTTTTCTATTCTTTCCATGTTCCCCTTTTTCTTGGAATGAAAATATGCTGTACTAGAAAAATGAATTTGCTGCAAGGAAGCGTCATAATTTTTATCACAATTGGACCTAGGACATTGAAGGGTGGCTGGCCGCAGTGATAATATATTATCATTAAACTTGTTTTTTTTAATAGTGGATGTCTACACTGGAAAATATAAAGCAGTATCTCTTTGGCGTTTCCTTTCATTGTTCTTTTTATGATGACATTGTTAGTAAATCATGCCTAGGCTTTATATAAAGGAAAAATGCCCTATGAAATCTTTCTTATTGCAATTATCGTCTTGAACTGAATGGTCTGTTTTATTAAAGGTAAGTAGGTAATGAATTTAGATGTTACCAGAAAAACAAAAATGGAGGTTCTTCTAACTTTAACGTGATGGCGTGAAATTGGCACCTGCGAATAAGTTTCCACAGGTCGTTTTAGAATTTGAGCAGAAAAACAAGTATTATCACCAATTTAATCTCATCTGTCCATAGTTCGCTTTTTAACAAGGAGTGAGGTCATTTACCTGATTATATATTTTTTAAATCACATAAAATGCTCATAATGAATGCTTGGTCCAAGTATCAAGATGCTGGAAAAACCTTGTTCTTTGCCTTGAAATGTAAGTAAGTTCTATTCTTAATGATCACTTTTCAGTACAAACAGTTTAAATTTACTGGCCCATGTCTGTCAATAAAGTTCACAATAATGATGCATTTGACTGTGGAGGCACAGCTTCATCTGTTGGAAGAAGCAATACTTTTTAATAAAATCAGTATAACAGAGAGTTACAAGGTAATTCAGCCAAGATTTAAGTTATTTTGTGACAAAATATTTCTGGAATTATGTTACTATCATCTGATACTTAAAACAAATATGGTGTATGAGAGCAAACTGTCTATTACGTTTACGTGATGTTTTAAATGCTTATATCTGAAGAATACATTACTCTGGCTACCTCAGAAAATCCCCCATGGACCCTTTCCCATACTTTTTACTATTACTTCATAGTCAGTTTATTTAGACTTTATCTTCTCATATAACTATGAATGTTATGGATGCCCCAAACCAGTTCTCACCTTCAGCCTGAACTTGTAGAACTCTGATAGATATTCTTCTCTTTGGGTTTAAGCTTATTGAAAATGTTGACCTGCTATATCCATTGCACTGCTGTTTCTTTTCGGGGACTAAAATTGTGTTATGTATCTGAGTCTATTTAATGATATGGAACATATGCATCACATGGTCTTTAGTTATTATTAATTTTGAACATATGAATCATGGATATTCATGAGAAATGTTCTGTAGAAAAGATTGAAGGAATGCATGGAGAGGATGAAAGAATGGTAAAAGAGAAGTTACTTATTTAAGAGACGTGTTGGAACAAGTATAGTTCAGTTTTAGCTCTTTCCATATTTGATTGTTCTTTTTGATAGGTTATCTTTCATACAGCAATAGAACATGATCTTATTTTATTTATATTTTGGTTCGTTCGAGCTTATCATCCACTCTCTGGAAACAAAGTTGAAAGACAGAGCTATATGGATTATTTTTAAAGATGATCTGGGGATTTAAAATGATAGTAGAGCTACATGGATTCTTGGTTCAAATCTGAAATTCCCTACTTGCATGACATGTGCGCATGAAATATAAACCAACAGATTACTACCTTTCTAATGACTTAATATAGATGAGCTGGTAATTCAACATTCATGGGTAAAGAGATTTGCATTCAATCCTTGGTTCTCGTTACGCAGTCTCCTCCAAGTACAGTGCTGAAGTAGTAGATTAATTGATTATACTTGTAGAACTTTATGTAAAATATAAATACTGGAAGCTTTGTGATTAGTCACAATTCTAAAGATTCCATTTCCTATATTCCCTGGGAATTCATTAGAGGAATGTTTCTATCTGTTGTTCCTAGTAAAGCTTTTGAGGGCTTCAGCAACGAGTTTGTTCCAAATTGAAGCATCCATTTATCAGGAAATAGGCTTAGTTTATCGTAGTTTCTATGCATTTTTTCAATGGATGAAGTCTTAACCATTATAAAGTTGTCCTTTATCAGGAAAAGGCGGAACTCTATGATGATTTTTGTGGATCATTATTGTGAGATTAACTTCTTTTTTATTTATTCTCTGCTGCTTCTCTCTCTTTCTCTGTTGTTTGGGAGTGGACGAGTTTTGGCAACAATTGATGAAGATTTGCATTTTCTGCAGACTGGATCAAGTTGCCACAGAAAGCACTTCAAAGAGTGTAAGCTTGGATGGGGCTAGAAGAATGGCCTTAAAACACATTGAAACTTTTATCCTGTCCTTTTCCAATCCTCAAGCATTCTCTGCTGCTGCTGCATCATTGGCCACTGCAGCATTGACACAAGTATCGAATTCTGTTCGCATTCAAGATGCTGGTCACCTGAGATGCAGGTTTCTTTCCCTCTCTCTCTCTCTCAAGTTACAATTTTATCTGCTTGTAATAACGACTATGTTTAAAAGCAAATGTTATCTGAAAATAGATGTCTGACAACATGACCTAACTCGTAACATTTGGTTACTTATACTTCGATTTAGAGTTTCAGAAGTTACTATCTTATAAATCATAATTTGTTTGGATCTGTTCTTTTTACTTATGTCCTGTGAATCTGTGATACTAAAATCAGTCTTACTAAGAGAATAGACTCTTGTTCATTAAACAAATACATGCAATTGATCTTTGGTACTAGATATTATTCCAAATTGCCAAGTGATTGATGATTTGGGGATCAGAAAGTATAGTTGGGGATTGATTAGGGATTAAAATTTAAAAATTGGTAAAGGTAGTAGTGGGAGGGGGTGGGGGCTAGGAGTTGAAGGAGCTAGTGTCAAAGGAGGTGGAGAAATATGGGGAAGGGGCTGGAAGTGGGGTGGATGAGCTGCAATTTGAGTGGGAGGTGGACATTTAGGTGGGGCTGGGGTGGTGGAGAGCTGAGAACGGTTTTGATGGCATTTGTGAATTTCTTTCTGGGGATTGAACAAGCAAAAATACACCCTTTTTGGTCAAACAATAATAAGTCAGGTCCAATTTGAAGCTCCAAAGTTCTCTTTTTATGTGCATGTTTGTACACAATGCTCCTGGCTCCATACCACCATCAATATTTTCTTTAATCTGATCAACTTAATTCTATCCTACAATATATACTTCTTGCAAAAAAATTTCCTCGCAAGACCTAAAAGGCTAAAACCCAGTTTCTGCAGGATTACATTCATCATTCTATTAGCTAAATTAGTTTGTGTTTTTAATTTTTTCTATTTTCCCCTTCTCTTTTTACTCAGTGGAGCTGAGATTGGAAGGTTCGTTTCCATGCTGCGAAATCCTTCTTCAATTCTTAAGACGGGCGCTGCATTTGCTCTTCTTCAGGTAGACAATTACTCTCTCTGATGTTCATTGGAAACTTACGAAAAAACAGATTAAACTGTCAATTTACTGTTAATGTCCATGGCTAATTTCTACTTTTTATTTCAGTTTACCATACCAGGTGGTCGGCACGCAAAGCATCATGTGAGACTTCTGCGAAATACTGGAGCACCGCGGGTGCTTCGAGCTGCAGCAGCCGCAACAGGTGCCCCACTTGAAGCAAAAATCTTTGCTAGAATTGTATTGCGGAATCTCGAACATGAAATAGAATCTTCTCTGAAGAGTGGTTGAGCAGGTTGTATAATCTCAAGCCATAAGTTGATGCCAATGCCATTTGCTTTTAGGTCAGCTTTTTCTTGTCATTTGTGCCAACATCGAATAACCTGTAGTTCAGTGCAAACTTTATTTAGGTGGGTTAAATAATTCTCTGGGATATCAAATGACTTCTTTCTATTTCTTGTTATCGTGTAATTCGTCATGGATGGATTGCCCTTGCGCTGTCAGCAACCTCGTACCAGGACATGGTGTTAAAAAACATGTTCTGTTACTAGTGTGGATTTTGACGAAACTGTATGTAATTTTCTTATGGTTGCACATTTTTTTTCCATCTTTGGTCATTCAGCAATTATAATAATAATAAAGTTAAAACTTATTTGTCATGGAAAGCATGATTTTGTTTTTCTATTGCAAAAACTTGATCTCAGTTGTGGCTTGGTGTCTATGATGCTATCAAAATATCAAGGTAACATGTTTGGTAGGGAAGATTGGATACTCATGGATATAACTTGCGAAGAAAAATAAATTAAAATTTTGTTTGCTACACTACACCACACCAGTAAAGAAAATAATTGAAGTCCTAAGTCGAAGTTAAAATCGAAATTGTGAATTCATGAATTTGAAGTGGGATCGACGGGTTCACCCACAAATTTATGGATTCTGAACAAGAGGGAAGCTGTCGACGATATTGGAAACGTCCTTAGTTCCTCGTTTATTCGAGGATTATTATAAATTATAAATATCCATTAGGGAGTATTTTTATCATGATGATATAAGTGAGTTGTATTCTTACGTTTCATAAATTTATTGCATTGAACGATTTTCAATTGATTAGTTTGGGGTTGTTTAGAGTTGTTATTGTGTGTGTTATTAATTACCTAATTGAAGACAAATATATAAAATTTTAGTCAAACCAACTTTTGTCAACCATTTAGTTGAAATTCTATCAGTTATTTACTATATTTAATATGTTTCTTTGTCAAACGCAATTATAATATAAATTTTTTTCTAAAAGGAGAGACGAAAAGGGTGGTTAAATTCATCAATGATCACCTAACTTTATATTTGGTATCGTAATGAATACTCAATTTGATTTTGTTTCATCATGGTCACCCAACTTTATACTCAATGTTATAGTGACCACTCAATTTAATTTTATTTCATCATAGCCACCCAATTTCATATAATGTCATGGTCACTCAATTTCATAGAATATTTCACCTGATTACCCAACTTCTTTTCATTATTTTTACTAATTTTAAAAGAGGTAAAACGTTAATTTTGCATTATATTTAAAATATTTTTTTAAAAAATAAAATAAAATAAAAATTATTTTAAAATAATGTTACTTAAAAAATAAAATAAAAACTTATTTTTAAAAAAAATTTTACTTAAAAAAATAAAATAAAACAAAACAAAAACTTATTTGAAAAAAAGTTACTTAGAAAAATAAAATAAAATAAAAACTTATTTTAAAAAAACATTTTTAAATTAAAATAAAAAAATTATTTTAAAAAAATTAATTAGAAAAATAAAATAAAATAAAAAGTTATTTTAAAATAAAAAAAGCTTATATATATATATATAATACAAAGTTACTGTTTTACCCCTTATAAAATTAGTGAAAATGGAAAAAAGAAATTGAATGGCCATGGTGAAATGTTATATGAAATTAGGCGACTATGGTGAAACGTTATATAAAATTGGATGGTCATGGTGAAATAAAATCAAATTGAGTGTCTATGATAGCACTAAATATAAAGTTTGGTGACCATTATGAAATAAAAAAATTGAGTAACCATGATAATACTAAACATAAAGTTAGGTGACCATTGGTGGATTTAACCCTACTTTAAAAAGAAAACAATTTTTTAAGTTGTTTTTAAATACAATATTCTCTAACCTTAAAAAAAATCTCTTCGGTAGCTGCTATAGCATACGGTGTGGATGGTAGTAGCAATGGTGTGAGGAAGGCAAGGCAATGATCGGGTTTGTACTAAACAATATTAAGCACGAAATAGGTAGAAGAGAAAATCACAAATTAGTTGGAAAAGAGGAGAAATAATGATATACGAAAAGGTGCATAATTTTCAACTTGGATGTTAGATTTATGCGAATGAGTACAATCTGGAAGCGTTTTTCAATTCCCTATAGTTTTGCCAGGTGACGACCAACATCATCAAACTTTCGAGGATGGAATTCATGGGATTTGTTTTAGCATTTTTCTGTTTTGAATCAGTTTAAGGGTATTTTCATTATTTTTGCAGTTTTTGAGGAAGTCAATTTTTCCGTTATTTGGTGAATTCTAGTAGTTCTTATATCCGCTCAAGCGACATTCGAGCAACACCCATTCATATATTAAGAACACGATCCATTTTATTATTATTCACGTTTTCATCTTGCGTCATAGACTATTAACAAATTTTGTCACACTCCAATGCATCATAGTCCTATCGAGTATAGCGTATTAAACATATGGGATGATTGAATATGGCAATGAAAATTTTCTTTTAGTTATACTTTTTACTTGTAAGCTAAAAAAAAAAAATTTCTTATTTGCCAAGTTTTCTAGGAGACGACGAAATATGTTTATTCATTAAAATAATAAAATATTATTACGTTTACTAGTATCACAATATGTAGAACCTAAATTTGAAAGACTGCTATATAAAATTTATTGAGGGTTATTCGACAGATTTTAATAAATTTTTTAGCATATTTTGATAAAAATTGATGAAAGTGAGATTGAAAAGCTGATTAAAAATTAATTGTTGAATTTGACCTCGTTTTAACGACTTTTTTAAACTTTCTCAAACGAGCACTAAGAGAGGAGTTGAATTAAGTCTTTTTTCATTAATGCTAACAAAATAATTCAAGATGTAAGATAATAAACCACACAAGGAAAAAGAACAATGGTACATATTATATATCAATTATTCATACAAAAAAAATAATAACAATACAATAAACAGCACTGCCTCTTGCCTAGGCCATAAACACAAACATGGCTATCAAAACAACCATCAAATGACTGAATCCACCAAAAATGCTTGTAGCACCACCAGTGGGCGTTAGCGGGGCAGTAGTAGAAGGTGGGCTGTCCGGAGTAGTTGGTGACCCGGGTGGCGATGGAGTGGTGGCCGAGGGCGGTGAGCCACCAGGAGTGGTGCTGGTGGCAGTGACATTGACTGCCAATTTCATGCCCTGAGAGCAGTGATTTGATCTAGGACATGTGAAGTACATTGAACCAGCTTTGGTTAGAGTTATGGAGGTTGGGCTGGAACTATAGGAGTTTATAGGGTTTCCAGTGTTGCAGTTGTCATAATCATCTTTGCTTACTTCATCCAGACTGTGAGTGAATCCAAAGGTGAACACTGTTCATGAACAAAGAATTGTTTCAATCTCTATCCCACAAATAACTTTTTATCTCAAGGCACGTTAGATCGTCTCATTGAAAATTTTAATTTGATTCGGTATGATATTCTAATGTGCAAAAAGTAGTAGGTTTAACCATTTTGATTACTTAAAATTTCAATTCACTTATCATAAAAATACTTGGAATGAGAAAGAAACTTACCGAGCTTATCACCGACATTGAATTTTTGACTTGAAGCCCAATCGGAGTAATCAGTCCCAGTCGTCCAGCCATTGTTATCGCCAACATTGAAATCTTTGGCAATTACTACTGGGGAGAGGACGAGGACGAGAACGAGGAGATACACAGGAGCCATAGCCATTTCTATTGCTTATTTCAAATAAAAATACAAGAAAACAAACACAGATATGTGCACAAATGATGGTATAATGCAACTTATATAGACAACTCAACTATGAAATTGGACATGATCGAAGGTAGGGTGTTTGTGGGGGTGGGTGGGGTGGGGTGGTCCAAAAACATTGTACATTTTGATGTTAGTTAAAATTGTATTAAAATAATAAGATTCATATATAATTTAGGGCCTCGAATATCTTTGTATTGACTATTAAATAGCTTGCCCAATTGTTGAACCAGCATGTGTTAGCGTTGAATAATGAATTTTTGTGGCTCTAATGATGAAAATGTCTTATAAAATGCTGGTGATAATACAAAATTTTGTAAAATAATTGATTGACAAATTGCTTATTTTATTGTCCGTCATGTTATAATAAGAATACACATATAATTGCAGAAGTGATTGACCCGTCGTTCTCTTGGTACGTAAAGTTATGCACGACATAAACCATATTTGACAAGAAGATAAAAGTTATTTTAAAATAAATAATTATTTACCTTAAAAGTAACATATTCAAACATGTCGCAAAAAAAATAATAATAATAAAACATTGTGGCTGCTTTCTTACATCTTAGCACACAATTACTTATCTTCGGATTATCAACATTCTTTTGTGTGTAATTCTACAACTAGATGTCGTTCTTTAGTTATGGCATGTTCGATAGGTTTGATAATATAACACTAAACGGAATTACGAAAAAATAATAAAATCTTGTTAGTTGAGAGTCTTGAGA